GTTTTAAGATCATTAAAGTTATCTGTTTTCACCACTCTCTTCTGCCATTTAATTCTCTATCCATTCAATCATTCCTTGACGTGCCTCACTCTTTCATAAAAGATTATCTACCCTTATTTAATTATGTTTTTATTTCCTATATTCCAGCAGGAACTCACAATCCTTTCTTCACATAGAGAAGCTCCAAGACAACATAGTACCTACTCCTTTTCTTTACCTAGATCAAGTGGTTCCACCTCACTCTCTCCCTCATTTCTCAACTAAGTGCACTTTAACTCTTGGTTTGATTGTCGGCTTCCAGTCACAAAGGTCAACCAAAGACTTCATATTCATGTTAATATAACATAAAAGCATAACATAGCACACAATTCTATTTCTTAAATAATTTGTTTAACATACCATTTTAAACAAAAAATTTAGCTTCAGAACAATATCCTGCATTCTATATCATCTATGTTTAGGGGGAATATGAATTATCTCATTCAATATTTATATTAGAGAGTAAAGAAACTGAAGCTACATATGACAGGGACAGAAACAGCCACAGCAAGCATGGACACAATGGACATGTAACCTTGAGCTCACACTGACCAAGTAAAGTAACTACACATATATACTACTGGTGAGACTAAAGTGCTAATACTAGCCCACATACGAAAAAATGACAAAAGAGATTTAAATAGCAGCAAATGCTTGTAAATTTTATCAATATATAACAAGTTTTTTGTCAAGGAATCTATACTATCCATTTTAATACTCACCCTTGACACAGAGATGACCAGCAGTGAAGATTGAGTCACATGAAAAAGGAGAAAGTTGTATCCACTTACCTGAGTCTGTTCTAGCTTGGCTTTCAGGCTCTCCACCTGCGTTTCCAGAAGATCCACCAGGAGAGCATCACCTGAGCCAGTAAGGGTTGTGGCACTGCTGTCCTATAAACATTAAGATACAAATTACAGTTGAAAGAATGTTGGCCAAATGCAAATAAAATGAAAAAAAAATAACTCTTCCTAAAAATGAGCCTAAATGATAAAGAAATCTTAGCTGATGTACCTTCTCTGGTCTGTGCTGTGCATCAAGATCTGAGATGGAGTGGAGAGACCCCGACTCTGAGTAGCAAGATGTTAGAACTTCATCTTTGCTAATGCTTGGGAAGTCATCGCGTGTGTTTCTGCGTGACGTTGGTGGAGAGGACCTCGATCTCTTGCTTGACCTTGTTCTTGAGTTGGAGCGTGATCGGGCTCGTTCTATTGCAAGAGAGGAAGGAGAACTTTGTGTTAGGTGAGAGAAATTTTGCAAGATGCTTATGTAAATTTATGATCATTAAAACTCCATATAAGTCATATACTGAATTACAAAATTTATTACTTGTCTATACAAAAAATGTTATGTAGTTTAGCTAGCACTTATTAGATTTTGTGTGAAAATGTTTTCTATTTACATAAAATTAACAGGTTCTTAAAGATTGAAAATAAATATTGTTTAGTAAATAACAATCAATTAACTTTCCTATAAAACTGAAGATGACCATATCACACTCCAAAAATTACATAATTCCTTCTTAAATTACATTTTCTCAACATTAAGTCTAAAAGTGCTAATATGGGGTAAAATTACGGTCAAATGCCTTTATACAAAGCCGCTATGATTAAAACATTATCATATCTATCACAGAGAACAACATAAAGCCACAATATAAAAACAGATGAATCAATATGATTGTCTAAACTTGGCATGAGTTATAGTAATGATAAATTGATATAAAAACAAATACACAAACTAAATAAATAATAACTGCAGTAGGAAAGGAAATAATGATAAAAAAAATCCACAAGCTTTCAAGCAAAGACACAACATCACTTTCATGTGGAAGCAGACATTGAGTATCTTTATATGCTTTTCCACATGAAGAGGAGCCTTGTATTTCAAGTTTAAATATGGAGTTTTCTCCATTTATTTTCTTCTTGTATTTTACTTCACTTCCTATGGTACAGCTGCAACTATCTTCTCAAATGAGAAAAATGGATACAACAAAGTTAACTCCTGATCGTGAATTGTCTTGTTAATGCTCTCAGCTGTATAGAGTTGAGATACAGTGTTGTTACGTGCATTTAGATAAAAAAGTGATAACTCTCCTTTTTTATTTTGAATTTCTTTTCCCTCCATGCCCCCTACATACAAGGACCTTCACTGAATCTATACCTTTCCTTAATACACATCCTTGTACTTACTCCATACTTATGACATCTTTCTGAATGTGCATAGCCATGGTATTTTATTTTATGTTACAGTCTGTTTAAAATCTGTTTCCATAAAAAAATCCTGGAACTCTAAAGACAGAAGTAAAAAGATAGCTATCAAGTAAAAAACTTATTCACCTTTCTAGTTCTACAATATGTATCACATTCCAGTCATCTGAATCTGTATGATTCCTCTATTCCTCAGCTTAGACAGCATGAATGCCTTTTCCTATCACCATTATGGACCAATTAGAGAGTTATCACTTCTCATTATACGTGCCACACAAAGACCAGCAGGCAACCACCACTGCGCACGAATAATATGTTCCTTTTCCTCACCGCACTTAAAGTTATCCTCCTTGTTCTGGATACGAATCCCACCTGATGTTTCTGATGCAGTCCTATACTCATCATCTGATGAAAACACATAGCGACTGTTGGCGGAGGAGATGGAGTCGTTGTGAATGTCGTTTCCTTGGTCGCGTTCCGCTGCCATGCTCTCAAAAGTCGAACTGGTAAAAGTAGCAGCCAATTTGTAGTGAAAGTAACTAAAAAATATATAGAATTCTTTATATAAGAATGCAACTGCTAACAGGTCATAACTAAAACTTAAAAGTCAATAAATCTATCATCTCAAAACCCTCTCACATAAACCAAATATCTAAGTAACTGAAAAACTGCTGATCATTGCATATAACATCAATGCAAGACTTTCTGCCTCACCTCTGTGAATTATGCCTGTCCCTTTTGGCTACAATCTCCCTTTCAATCTGTTCACCGAGGGTCAGCGGTCGATCCTTGGATTCCTTGAGGTTGGCAGCATTTCTTAAAGCTTGGACCCAGTTCCCTCTGATGCCTGATGTAACAGCTGAGAATACATACTTCTTCTCCTCCCAAGTCTGGATATTAAATATAAACAAAAAAGTCATATTCTTAAATGCGATTAGAAGGATAACATTCATTCACGTGATTGATAACCTTCAAATTAATTTTATACTGTGGAGGATCAGATATATAATCAACTTTATTATTTACATATCATTCTATTCAAGTGAATGCACATTATTCTTTCTGTCAGACTATATTCCACCCTATCACCTACCAAGATCATGAAACCATAATTTCTGGCAACATCACATTCTTCAATGGACTTTGCAACACTGAGGTCGATAATGCCATCTAAGATGCCGTTGTCCTCTGCTGTGGGGTCTCGGTAGAACATGAGGCCCGTTCCTCGGAGGACAAACCAATACTTGATCCAGTCCTTCAAGAAACAAGAAAGAATAATTAAGAATTTTAATGAAAGATGATAATGGCAGGGAATACTACAACTCTGAAATATCTTAGACTAGAGTTTAAACATGAGTGTGAGTATTTGAGTGCATGCATTTCTATTAGTTTGTGTGCGTGTAAGTGTGCACGCGTGTGTGCGTGTTTGTTTGTGTTTATTTGTGTGTGTGTGTGTGTGTGTGTGTGTGTGTGTGTGTGTGTGTGTGTGTGTGTGTGTGTGTGTGTGTGTGTGTGTGTGTGTGTGTGTGTGTGTGTGTGTGTGTTTATGTGTGTGTGTTTATGTGTGTGTGTTTATGTGTGTGTGTATGTGTGTGTGTATGTGTGTGTGTATGTGTGTATGTGTGTGTGTGTGTGTGTGTGTGTGTGTGTGTGTGTGTGTGTGTGTGTGTGTGTGTGTGTGTGTGTGTGTGTGTGTGTGTGTGTGTGTGTGTGTGTGTGTGTGTGTGTGTGTGTGTGTGTAGGTGCGGGTGTAGGTGCGGGTGTAGGTGCAGGTGTGGGTGTGGGTGTTGGAGTAGGTGTGTATATGTATCTATGAGTATATATGTATTTGTATGTGTATGTGTGTCTGTGTGTAAATGTGTACATTTACATGTGTGTGATCAACAGATGTGAAATACTTACATGGTTTAGTGACTGCTTCATGAGCCACCCCTTTTTTATGTATAGCAGGTCCTCCGCAGGAAGGTCAACTCGCTGCAGGTCTGGATTGACAGTGTAGGGAGGAGATACCTCCAGACCACACCCATCTGGGTCACCTCGTACTTGCTGGAAACAAAAACCATAAAAGCTATATAGATACATGTACATTTGATACTTTAATACTTCACATACAATAGATGTCTACTAACAGTCATGAACTTATATGTCACAACTTTTCCAAGGTGTTGCTTTCCATACATGGTCTGGATGTGAGGGCTCAGCTGTTTCCTCTGATGATGTCTTGGAGACTTCAGGAGCAGCGTCTGTCTCATCTTGGGCATCTCTTTCACGGGTCGGCTTAACATCACCCAGACCAGACTGCTTGCAGAAACAAAATCATTAGTGCTAACACTTATCATTCCACTTATCAATTTCCTCTCTAGAAATATCTCATTCATGATAATTTCCTTTTGCAGGAAAAGCATCCAAGGCTGAAATGTTTACTGAAAATCAGATATGAATATTAAAGTCTTACCTACATCAACAAACAAGTGATATGGTATCTGTCAAGCTCTAGAACTCTTCCATGCATGTCAAGGGTAAGACCTCTCCACTTCTTTCCTTCAGAAAACTTTTTAAATTACCACATTTATATTCTACCTACCTTGCTGCTTAGGTACGAGAGTGAGGAACTCCCTCTCAATCGTGTTATTGAGTCAGCAATGTCTTTCAATTTTTCTTCACGCTTTGATTCTTCTAAGTCTGAGAGTAGAAGTTGCCTTGTAACTTCACCTGAATATTGAAGATGAATTAATATACATAAAAACTTATCTGGCTATACTGGACATTTATAATAATCATAAGATGTTAGCTTATTTCCTGTCTGAAGCCTACTGCAGCTATCAATATATCCCACCTGAGGAAATCAAAGAAATTTGGAACTACACAGTCTTGCTTTTATATTCCATATATTCTTTTTTTCCTAAATAAAAATGTACAGTATACTCTTATCGTCTATTAATGTACTGTTACTGTACTAAGTAATTTGATAAATTATCCATATATGCAGTATGCAACTACTGATTAGCATTACTATCTCACAACTATTTTGACAGTTACATGCTAGTACTAGCACTTTTAGAATATGAGAAAGCAGTGAACTTTACTAGTACCTTTGTCCTGCAGTCAATGCTATATAGGATCAAGAAATAATGTAAGGTCTCTCAACTCATTAACCAATTAACTTAATATAGGTAAGATATCATGACATTACAAAACAACAAAAAATGCTAAGGTTACTAAGGTATTTTCCTTTGGCAAATAACTGCACCTATATGAAGCAAGATTAAAAAGTAAGTGAGCAGTCACATAAAGCAGATTCATGACAACCACTTCTTCCAACTACAGTGGTATTACTATTTTTTCTTTCAGGTCATGTTATCACAAAATATTTAAGAATCTACATCTGTCCTAATAAACACTTATACATTTAAAAATTGCCCAACAGTAAACATGCTACCATGCACAACACATCAAGTACAAGAAAACTACATAATTAATAAGAAAATCACATTAATAAAAACAATATCAACACACAATAACAAAACAAGAACAATAAACAGCAAAACAAAATGGAAATATTAATAAAACAGCCATAACATAAAGCATCATGCAGGTGGTTAAAGCATGGAGTGCATATAGTTCAAATATCAAACATAAAACTAAACACATTTTTAAAATTTTACATCTACAAACACAGTTATTACAAGTCATCAAAACTAGTACAAAATACTGAAACAAACATGACATATACATTAGTATAAACATAAATTACTGTACCTCACTTCTTAATGTACAAAGTACATCATTTACCCCATAATTATCTAGACATTTATTTAATTTGTGGCCAATGATCTGCCTGCTCTTTCTGAGTAATAATGAAATATGACAAAATAGTTAATGAGAAACATAAGTCTATCTCATCATTCAAAAACACATACTCACTAGGACTCTCATTCACTCTTTCTCTCACTATCAAACACCCTTAATCTCACATGCACACACATAAATATGTGCATACCTGCAGGCAAACCCACACAGAGGCTATCAAGCACACAAGCATATATGCGCACACACACACACACATATATGCATACTATTACTTTAATTATTCAATTACACTACTAATTATGTATCTCTTTTTCATTTTCGAAAAAATAATTACCCAATATATTATGAACATCTCTCAATCTTACTTTAAAAAAGAAAGATTAATAGCAACAACTAGTTTAATAAATCTAGGCCAGTTCCAAGTTGAAATTTTTATTTCAGTTCATGAATGCCACATTCTGAAATTAACATGGAGAACAGAAAACATTATATATATAATTTGTATGAAAGCTATATTCCGTTCATGAAATGGAAATAATGTCTGAGAACAAGTGAATCTGAACTACGTGAGGACAAAGTGGGTTAGTCATGCACACACACACACCTGGCTTGTCGGGCGCCGTGCGAGCGTGGGGTCTAGTAGGAACATGCACGCCTGAATCAAGGCTCCGAAATGATGGGGTTCCCACACCACCACCACCGTCCCCACCACTGCTCCCAATACCACCCAAGGAAGAAGATAGGGATGAACTGACTCCTACTGAGGAGCCAGCTGAGGAGGAGGAGGAGGAGGCAGAGGAGGAGGAAGAGGAAGAGGAGGAAGTGAGGGAATTCAATGAAGAGAGAGAGGAGGTGAGGGTGATGGTGGCCCTTCGGACAGTGCGAGGCTCAGGGGAAGAAATAGCATCGACAACAGCCGAATGAGTAGGGGAGAGTGTGGAGTGAGAACCCTCCGGGGTAGAGTAAGCAGAAGTGGCAATGCTGCCTGTGGAAGAGTAGAGGGAGGGTGTGGTGTGTCCAGTGGTGGCTGTGGTCCCATGCCTCAGGGGAGACACTGACGACGGCAGGTTAGCAGGAAACATTGCTGTGACTTCTGACTTACTCCTAGGCTGTGTGAGGCCTCGGACTTCCCGCTTTATTGCACGCCGGGTGCGGAACTTGTGACTCAACTTGTCCTGCGTAGGTGGAGACTCTGAGGTGGGTGGGTTGTCTGTGTAGTCTGAAAGAAGGAAAAAGAATCAGCACATATAGTTTGATCTAAAAAAAAATAATAATAATAAAAGTAAATTAGCATACCTAACAAACTTTCTCACACAGGGAATAACAATGGCACAAAGCATTTCCAATAAACATTAGCCACCTACAGCGATAACAAAAATCATTACACCAAAACCAACAAAGAACTGAACAGTGGCAGAGAAGGAAAATAAAAAAGCATCAGCAGCATGAGCACTGTCAGCAGCATCAGCCCACAGGGAACAGCAGGCCCTACCTTCAGCATATGGAGGTGTGTTCTCCTTGTGCTCGTCCCTCAGGATCCTGGTAGGGGGAGGGAGGGAGGACAGAGGGGTGGAGTGATACAAGGGTGTGGGGGTGGGGGCTTGGCTAGTGGAGGAGGTGGAGATGTGGGTGCTAGAAGTAGAGGAGTCCTTGGTAGGGAAGACGTCCTCCTCCATGTCTAGTGCAGGGGCAGAGGGGGGGCGGCTCCCTAGGGGGTCAGTGGTGCAGCTGAGGAACCTGACCCGTTGTCCTATTGGCGTCTCAAAGGTGGTGGGGGCTGCAGGGGGCAAGCAGGTCCAGGGGTCAAGCAGGGGTCACAATTAAATCAGTAAAACAAAAAAGTATTTCAAGTGCTGCATTTGCATTACATATCTACTATTGCCAAAAAAAAATTGCTAGAGAATAATCATTTTAGCGGTTGCAAGACAAAACTACAATAGCCACAAAAGTCTAGCAACTTAAGATCACATAATTAGCAGAAATGATCCACATACTTCTACAAAAATAATTCAACATAAAAAAGTTCTATTTGATTAACAAGGAAAAATAAACATAACTGCAAAAATCAATTCCAGTAGAGGACACAAGGTATGTCCAAAAGTGCTCCTCTCTGTAACGATACACAGGCAAGTGCATGCCACTATCTATGTGCATACATGTACACACTCACATACACACACAAACATACATATGCATATACATATACATAAACAAATACACACACAGATATATACACCCACACATGCACCTACACACCTACACACACACACACACACACACACACACACACACCACACACACACACACACACACACACACAGCACACACAGACACACACACAACACACACACACACACACACCACACACATACATATGCAACACACACACACATACACACACACATACACACACACACACACACAGACACACACACACACACACACACACACACACACACATACACACACAACACACACACCACACACACACACACACACACACACAACACCACACACACACACATACACACACACAACACACACACGCACACCGCACACACAACATGCACACACACACACACACACATAGCACACCATCACACACACACACACACACACACACACACACCACACACACACACACACAACACACACCACACACCACACACCACACACACACACGCACACACACGACACACACACACACATACACACGCACACACACGCACACACACACACACACACAACACCACACACACAACACACACTACCACACACACACACACACACACACACACACACACACACACACACACACAACGCACACAAACACACACACACACACAGGCACACACACACACACACGCACACACACCACACACACACACACACACACACACACAAACGTCACACACATGCACACAACACACACACGACACACACACACACGTGCACACGCAACAAACGCACATGCGCACACACGCGCAAACACACACACACACACACGCCACACACACACCACACGCACACACACACGCACACACACACACACATACACACACACACACGCCACACACACACACACACCACACACACACACACACACACACACACACACACACACACACACACAGCACACACACACGCACACACACACACACACACACACACCGCACACACCACCACACACACACACCACACACACACACACACACACACACACACACACACGCACACACACACACACACTACACACACACACACACACACACACACACACACGCAACACACACACACACACAGGACACACACACACACGCACACACACACACACAGACACACACACACACACACACACACACACACACACACACACAACACAACACAACACACACGCACACACACACCACACACACACACACCACACACACACACACACACACACACACACACACTCACACAAACACGCACACACGCAAGCACACACACACACACACACACACACCACACACACGCACACCACACACACCGCACAACACACACCACACACACAACACACGCAACACACACACACACGCACACACACACACACACGCATTGATTCACACCAATATACACAGTACAACATTCTCCAAAATCTGAAAGACATTTTCATTTGTTTAACTATACCAAGTTACATATTTGTCAAGCTAACATCTAAAAAACATTTGCATAGTTCTGTCAATGTGTTGTAGTATAGACACTTTGGACATACCCATGTCGAATAAAGTTTTTACACATTCATTTAGCAACACCATAGAAACCCATCCTCCTGCCTCAACTTACCGAGTGAAGGTGATGGAGAATGAGACACCATATTCTGTTTTAAGACAGTTGTTGTCTTAATTCCCGGGAACGTTGCATTGCGTTTGTGCCGACCTTGTTGCTGTGGGGATGCAAGGGTTAGTATATCCAAATATGTTCTTGGTTACAATACATAAAGTAAGCTCAAAAACATGTATATCAGGTGTAACATAGAGAACCCACAATATATAACAGAAATACACAAACATAACTTGACTAAAACTAAAGAACAATTGAAGGCATGCATGTCCAAAGGTGTTCTCAAATCATTTAGCTGGAAATTTGTTTATCAAAGATTTTGTGGATCTAAACTTTCATCTATAAAATAAGCTTTTATATGTAAATACATAATAAACACATTTCAGGCAATTTGTCTAAGAGCAATTTTGGACAAACATACTCCTAATTATAATGGAAATCTGTTGGTAGCAATTCTAACCTTTTGTGATCTCGGGAAAACTGAGAGAACATCCATCCACCACCTGGACTCCTCACGACAGGTTCCCTTGATGAAAGTTACTCTGTCAGGTGCTGTAATTGCAAGACTGAACTGGTTGCCAGTAACATCCTCTGCCTGGGACACCTCTAGCACCCGGTTCATGTCTACCACACCTTGAGGGATGGTTGCCGGCTGAAAACAAATAGATAGGTAAGAATAGAAGATACTGCTGTATATCATAAAGTAAATAAGACGTCTTACTACTTTCTGGAGGATACACCTGAGACCTAATAGACTTTTGCTACCCTATAATAAGAAACAATTTTCACTGTTTTGTTTAAAATCATCAAAAGATCAACATGAATATAATTCTATTATCATAATGCATTCTTTATGTTATACCATTACTTGCAATTATTCTTACTTGTATAAAGTACAATAATACAATAAAACCCAAGCAATGAAAGAGGTTAGATGAAACATTAAAAAGTAATGAAAACCAAATTGCAAAGCCTTCTACATGCCTCACAATATTAGGATATCTTATAGCAGACTGCCAGCACTTGGAAACTGTGACAACTTGTCCTTTTATTCAAGAGATATTGTGCACTGATGACTCGCTACAATAAAATCACCCTGGTCACATCTTGGTTTTGCATTTAATCCTTCCTAAGAGAAACATTGAATTCTAAACAATAATGTATACCAAAACAAAAAAAGTAATTACATCATTTTAAAACACTGTTCAAGATAGAATACTTTGTATCCAACTTGATATGTAAATGAGAAAAAATTGTCAAAGTTGAAGCCACATAAACAAAAGAAAAAAAAAACTGTCAGAGATATAAATTAACTGGATCAACACACAAAAATATAGGCCTATATCATAAAATTAGGCAAAGCAAATGGAGAACCGAAGATATCAAAAAAAGTAACCCAGAATTATAGCTCTTAAAAAAGAGCATCAAATCACATGCACGAAAAAGAAAGTAACTCACATGGTCATCAACGGAATAGGTTAGCTCTCCATCATCATAGAGGACAAACCATCGCCGCTGCCATCGCTGCAGAAAAAAAAACTAGTGTGAGAAAACTAGTTTATCAATACAATGGATTTCAGGGTGGTTACACCAGTACAGTAAATAGGTATTAGTGAATAAACAAGGATATCGTCATTAAGTATACGCCTACTTAATAAAGTCTTCCAAAATAATCACACATAAAAGGATTTTATGTAATAAATGTCATGACCTAAATAATCAAAGCATTTTGGTTAATAAAACAGTTAACCAAATATTTGTGGCAATGGGTGCTTGCTAATGGTGATAATCTGGACACAGAGAATGTTAGATCATTTATCTGTCACAAAAGATCTTGACTCCCTAAATAGAGATGAAAATAATGGTGGGGATAGTGGCAGTGCTAACAGTGGTCATAATAATAATGATGGTGATAGTAGTGGTACTGGTGAAGATGGTAGTAGTGGTGCTTATGATGGTAGTGATAATGGTGGTTTTACTGATGGTTTTGGTGGAGATGGTAATAGAGTTGTTAATAATAGTAGTAGAGGTGGTGGTGGTGGTGGTGGTGGTGGTGGTGTGGTGGGTGGTGGTGGTGGTGGAGGTGGTGGAGGTGGAGGTGGAGGTGGAGGTGGAGGTGGGTGGTGGGGTGAGGTGGAGGTGGAGGTGGGTGTGGTGGTGGTGGTGGTGGTGTGGTGGTGGTGGAGGTGGTGTGGGTGGTGGAGGTGGAGGTGGAGGTGTGGTGGTGGTGGTGGTGGTGGTGGTGGTGGTGGTGGTGGTATGGTAATAATGATGTGATAATGGTAATAATGATGTTGCTAATGATAATGATGATGATGTTGGTAATGGTAGTTTTGCTGGTTATTATGATTATGATAGTGATAACGATGATGTTGATAATCATAATAATGATGATAATGATGATGTTGGTAACAGTAGTTTTGCTGGTGATGGTAGTGGGGATCATAGTAGAACAATGGTGGTGATGATTGCCATGGGACTGGTAATGGTGATAATGGTGATTATGATGGTGGTAATAAATGATACTTCTTAAACTCTTTATCTATCTTTAGCTACGTAGGCCTATAAAATCCGTGGCGGAGAATAGGCCGAGAGAGAAGTCTGCCTGACCTTACTTATGTACAATAATTAATGCTTATTTTTCTTAACCAAAATATTTTATATTCATATATATGTTGTTCGTCGCCGATATTCTCTAAATGTAGCGAGGTATGCATTTCCCATTTCATTCTGTTTACATATAAAGTTATCACCAAAATTTAACATATGTGACTTTTATAATGCCCCAATTAATTCTAACACACCAAAAAACCCTGATGGATCTGATTCCCGAATAAACAATGAAACCTTTTTCACGCCATGTCAATATTGACAAAATTCTTAAAATTAATATAAAAATAGAAAACAACACAAATAAATTAATAAACAAGCTGAGAAGAGGTGCATCTTTTTGAGTGCTCTACTAGATTCTACATCCTTTGCTCTGTGTGTGTGTGTGTGTGTGTGTGTGTGTGTGTGTGTGTGTGTGTGTGTGTGTGTGTGTGTGTGTGTGTGTGTGTGTGTGTGTGTGTGTGTGTGTGTGTGTGTGGTGTGTGTGTGTGTGCGTGCGTGTGTGCGCATGACCAAGCACACATGCGTCCTAAATAACTGCAACGGAGCCGACTCGAGTGCGAGTGAGGCAACGCACGCGCGGCGGTTACTGAGTTACCTCAAGTGGCGGTAACCGCACACCTCTGAGTGTCTGTACTCACTCTCAAGGGTCAGCACTCACCCTCAAGTGGGAGCTCTCACACTCAGAGGTAACGCAAACCCAAAGGTGTAATCCCTACCGCCATAGCCTAGTCGTGGTGGGCCGGCTGTGTGGCTGCAGGTGTGGTGGGTATGATGGGGGAGGGTAGGGATGGAGAAAGAGTTGGAAGAGGAGGAGGAGGAGGAGGAGGAGGAGGAGGAGGATGAAAAGTAGAAGAAAAAGAAGAAGAAGAAAAGAAAGAAGGGAGAAGAGGAGGATAAGGAAGGAAGAGAAGAAGAAGGAGAGAGGAGGAGAGGAGGAGGAGGAGGAGAAGAAGAAGAAGGAGAAGGAGAAGGAGAAGGAGAAGAAGAAGAAAGAAGTAGAAGAAAAGGAAAAAGAAAAAGGAGTAGAGGAGGAAAAGAGGGAGGATAAGGAAGGAAGAGAAGAAGAAGAAGAAGAAGAAAAGGAAAAAGAAAAAGGAGTAGAGGAGGAGAAGAAGGAGGATAAGGAAGGAAGAGAAGACGGCGATAGTGGCAGCGGAGACTAGAACCGCCCCCTGGCCACGCCCTTCCCCCGATACATCAGGGCAGATTCCCAAAGCACACAAGAGCGACATAGAAGGGTGTGTGTGTACAAGCAGTTGATACCGGTGTTGTGGCGATAGAAAGTCAAGGCGGCATATGACACACTTCTCCTCCCCAGCAAGATCCATTCACTCCGGCCATCCTCGGAGCCACACCTGTCACTCGCCCCCTTCCCAGGCGCGCCATTCCTTAACAGGTGCTTCTACCTGGCTCTCTTAGGGGCCGGTCCTCTGTCTTACCCCTCACGCCCACCTTCTACGCCCCTTTTTCACAATCAAAGCTGCTATTATACATATAGCCTTCGTCAGCATTTGTAACTCGTCAGCATTTGCGACTCCAAAGGCAAATCCATGTAAAAATACAAATATAATACAAAATTATAACCGTCTTTTTGTTTTGTTTTTTTCCTGGGCGCAAAAAAAAATGTCCCCACAATAAATCACCCTAGCCTGGAGCGAGCTCTATTCTTGCTAAAGAAAAACAGGTGTGCAGTGCCTGTGCCCCCTCCTTCTAAAGCATGCAGGCTATAAACACCTGCTCGGGCGCAGGTGCAAGTGTTCAGCACCCGCAAGTGAACATGATTTCATCTAATGAGATGTAGATGCAAGAGCGCAGGTGTTCAGAGATCATACCAACAAATGGTATGAGTGTAAATATCTGGTCTTGTAGCGAGCAAAGAAAAAGGTTGGAACCCACAGCTAACATCTATTTTTCTTCCGTCTGAAAAGCATCTTGAAGCATCCGTTTACACCTCAAACGGATGAAGTAACATAGGTTACCCTCACCCTTATGGTAATTTCAACAAACATGCACCTTCCTGACACCAAGGAGGAATTCGCCATTAGCTTTTAGTTATTTACAGCGAGGGCTCTACCCGAAGCGGTAGGCAATGAATCAAGTGTAATTACATCTAACAGCAACAATCGGGTCTAAATAGAATATAGAAAAATAATTATATATACATACATTTAAAGAATAATGACACGCAACGATAGCTCAGAAATCAAAGTTCTTTTAATTGCAAGGCATCCACCAGGCATCATGCTTTAGTACCAACGGCATCACAATTTTCCCCCAAGGCTCGCCAAACCCGACGAAAAGCCCAAAACCCAAAGGAGACTGGTCGAGAGTCAGATGCTGTTGGGTTTCGCCTGTTGCAACGACACCGCCACACACAACAAAAGAAAAGAAAAATGATGTGACACGGGAGAAAGTTTTTTTCACATTTCCTGTCACGACATGACACTTGCTCCGCGTTCTGGTTGTCATTCCCTCGTGACAGTGATAGACATGCAGAATCTAATGCTGCAGATCTCGATTTGATTACACAGTATCTATATAGGTTCTTATAAATGTCTATATTCTAATTTCATTATTAACGTCATCCATACGTATCGTAATAATCTTATACGATAAATTACTACTATGGGGTATCATAACTCATAGCTCATTGCTTTACATTAGCTTAACTTCAATGGATATTTTTATGTGTTCCCTTCTAATACAGATCACAGTGAAAGGCCGGCTTACAAAACTGACCTTTTTCAAGACGGAAGTTTATCAGCGTATTTCTGCCCCATTCTCCTTCTCATCTCTTTCTCTTATTCTTTCTTTATTTTTTCTCTTTCTTGTTTTTCTTCTCCTTTCTCCATTTTCTTCTTCTTTCTTGTACATCTTTTTCCTCCCTATATTATTCTTTCACTTTTTCTTATTACCATTCTTCTCCTTCTCTTATACATATATATCCTCTCATTATCCATCTCTGTCTCTCTGTCACTCACGCTCACTCTCACTCGCTCACTCACTCACTCACTCACTCACTCACTCTCTCTCTCTCTCTCTCCTCTCTCTCTCTCTCTCTCTCTCTCTCTCTCTCTCTCTCTCTCTCTCTCTCTCTCTCTCTCTCTCTCTCTCTCTCTCTCTCTCTCTCTCTCTCTCTCTCTCTCTCTCTCCGCCATTAATCTTGGTCAGGACTCCAGGCACATCGATGGCCAACGCTTCAATTTCCACAAATATTCAATAAATTATGATACCGTTTTATTATTCATGAGCAATTACGGACCAAATAAAGAGCCAATCCTGCCAGTTCTCAGCTTTAGAAGTCACAGTTTCATGATTAAGCTGGATTTTAGTTCTCATTAGTGTAAATTAGTGTCTGCGCATTGTTTCGGCTTTAAATACATCTTTTATTACCCTTAGCTTAACATCATTCCAATCTCTCCGAAGAAAATGGAGATATTTGCACTAAACTTTTTAATAACGAATAATCATTTTTTTCCTCTTCCTTTTTATGTAATTCTTTTAGATGGACGTAACATTTTTTTTGCACTGATACTGTGTATGGAAAAGTGCAAAGCAGATTAACCGTATAATTTCCTTTTTGGAAGAAAAACTGTCCCGTGCAAAACGCCTGTTTATTCGATTTTGAATACCATAATGATAATGATATGGAGAATAAATAATACTAACAATGATCATTATCAACATTACAAATATTATTATTATCATGATTGTTATTACTACTATTATTATTGATAATCATCATTATATTATTATTGTCATTATTACTACTATTATTATCATTACTGTCCTTATTATAATAATTATTATCATCATTGTTACTATCATCATTGTCATCATTATCATTATCAATGTTATTATCATATTATTAATATCATCATTATCATAACCACCTTCGTCATCATCACCAT